GTGGGGGTTTAGCATACAGTATTTCTGTTATCTGATACTTGTTTCCGCCGTGGTTTATGTCAAATCCTCAAGCTAAGCTTTGAGGATTTTTTAAACATGCACATTTCTAGAATGGTGCGGTGTCTTAGCGTCGTTTCTTTAGCGTTTCTTAATTTAGAGTGTTTATGGGGGACGGGCGGTCTTTATGGAATTAAGGAGCTATTGTTATATTCTTAGTTGATGTTTGAGGTGATTAACTTTGCTCGCGTAGATCGTAGGAGAAGAAATCTGCTCATCAAGAAACATCCAATTACGACTTTAAGACTGCCTTCGCAAACATGTTTGAAGCATAATAAACAGTAACTCGAATTCTCAACGCGATATTTGGCCAATCAATTTTTGACATATTTTAGGTATCTTTCTTTTGTTACAGTAAAATATCACCCGTTATGTAGAATGTATTCTTACGAAAGGGTTTAAAAGAAACTGAACAAAAATATAATTTGATTTAAATGGCACAAAACTACTGTTTGGGGGAGTGACATTTTTTTTAATCTGATACTTGAAAAAAAAAAAAAATAGTTTAACCGGGACGTCATTTTGCTCTTTATAACTTCTTCTGATGATTATTAAGATTTATGTCAGAAATTATGATTCAGGTACACACCCCCTCACCACTTGTGTTAATACGAGGTCTCAATCACCATGTATTCAGTATTCACTCAAGCAAAACTCCCACTGAACTCCGGTTACGTTTTGACTGAACTACATCAGAGTTTTGCTTAAGAAAGAACACTGAGCAAGACTCCCTTTATTAGCGACTTTATTCTTTAATTGTTGTATATTCCCTTATGGGTGGGAGATAAACAAACAAACAAACAAAAAAAAAAAGTCTGCATGTAGATAATCACCGCTCTTGCACTTAATTGTGTGATCTCGAATAATACACCCGCCCGGGAAAGTATGTGCGCGTATATCTTACGCCACTACAAATTCAGCGATTGGCAATAAATATGTATACATACATATAGACACACACAGACTGCAGAGGTGTCTATCCATTGCACTAGTGTCTGTGGTAGCTTCTCTGCTTTTCTGTGCATTGTTTTTAATACTCACCCCCCACCCCCCCCTTCCGCCCCGTAGTGAAGGTGCCTGGGTAAATGGGTCAAAAACTGGTGGGCAACTGGGTTAGGAAGAGGTGAAGGTGAAGATCAATAGAGGTTTTAGGGCTGGCTGTATCTGTTGTGCTGGGTTTGTGTGACTGTGCCCAGAGGGCGGAGTTCCTGCACATTCCTACCTCACCGGAGAACCTGCCCTCAACTCCACTTCAGCTACTCCAGAGAGATGGGACCCTCCAGAAGAAACCTGCCCAGCAATCCTTCCCGCCAGAAGGGTAGGTGCACTTCAAGAAAATCTTCCCTACCTCTTATCCCCACAGGCAGATCCATGTGATACGAATGAATAGAGATGACAGACTTCTGTCTAAACGTACAGTTTCCCCGTGCCCCACGATAAGCAGATCGCCCGTGCAACCGAAGCACAGTTTCAAAGCACCAGTTACACCAAAACTGCGTGTGCCTAATGTCAGGATTTTCGCTCTGTCTCTTCTTTTTTTTTTTTTTTCTTTTCGGTCTCTTCCTCAAAGTGTTTCCTCCCCCGGCCTTCCCCCTCCCCCTCTGGCTCTTTCGTTTCAATCGGTAAGTTGGAAGTTTCTTCGCCGGTTTAGCAGTTCTTGTGGTTAATCTGTAGATATTTTAGCTTGTTTTGTTAACGTGCTCTTTGTTTGCCTGTTTGCCACCAATGTCAGAGAAAGTCACACGGGTGCAATGTTGTGTTTGCCTTTTTTTAAGATGCCAGGAGAAACTGCCTCTACCTGCAAGAAAGGCGCACGATGGCACTTGGGGATAGGAGTCCACCGACGGCACCGGGTGAGTGCGGATTTTGCTCCTCTTTTACACTCAGGAATCAAATAACTTCACGCGCGATTTTTTTCC